TCATAATACAATTTTGGAAATCATAAATACTCCTCCAATCAGGCGGGCCACCTCCCTCCTTTTCTGCTGCATGCAAATAAGAATTGAAATCTCCCAAAATGCACCAAGCCTCCGAGGATTGCTGTTGTAACCTTCCTAGAGCATCCCACAGAGACACCCTCTCAAGACGCCGCGGACTGGCATAAACAAAAGTAACAGCTTCCTCCTTCCTCCTATTACGCCAAAAAATTTTTAAATGGATAAACTGACGATGAGACTCTAAAATCTGAATCTGAGCTTCATTATCATTCCATAACACCCACAGGCCACCAGAAAAACCTTGAGGATGAGCCATAACATGCTTTTGAAAGCCAAAGCCTTTCACCACCTTCTGAGCACGGTCAGCTCTGATACGAGTTTCAAGCAAAGCCATAACTTGAATATTAAAACGACGAGACAAGTCCCTAATAAGGGGAGAAAAACCCTTTTTTCCAGCCCCCCTGCAATTCCAAACACACACACTCATAAAAAAACCACAAAAAATAATGAGAAAGGATGAAAAACACCCTGTCATTAGACTTTGGGGAGATCAAAACTATCCCGCATCACCGAGGGTACATCAGCAGGTCTCAAACTAGCATTCGAAGCCTCAACATCCTTCGAGCTGGAAAGAGTAACCGAACTCTTGTTGTCATGCGTTATTATGAAAATATCAACCCCATCCTCCCTTTTACCGGAATCTGAGGGAGTTACCACATGTGGAGGAGATGATGTAGAAGAGAGAACAAGAGGCTTTCTGCCATTAATGTCCATTGCTGAAATTTTTTTTGCCGAGCTCGAAGCAATGAACGGCTTAGCCCTTTGCTTAAAACTCTTTGGGACAATAGATAAGGCAACTGCCTTTTTATTCCTGTTAATTTCATCACGTAACTCTTTCTTTTTTTTCCATTTTGCGACAAAGTAGAAGACTTGGAAACGGTAGCCTCCTGTGGTCGAGACAAAATCCTTTCTTCTACCTGAGGAATAACAGTACCTTTTTGAACAACTGGCATAAGCTCAGGGCCACTTAGATTTTGATTTGGCATAGAGGGTCCCACCAAATTTGTAACTGTATTTGAGCTAGGGAGAATAGCTGCTGAAAGATGACGTTTATCACGAGGAAAATTCGAAATCTTATTATTTAAACCCTTTTTCAAATCAGCACTAGCGGTTACCTTAGAGGGGCCATGCTTATCATTAATGATTTGAATATTCTCATAATTAACATCATGATTATCATTAACTTCGTCAGAAATAACTGAAAATCTTGATCCAGCCGTTGAAGACGCCACCTTTGAAGCTCCAGAACCGTTATTTTTTGCATTAATCATTGTAGCCGATTTAATTCCCACATGATTATCGGGTTTCTGCTGCTTGATTTTAGCTGGACGTGAAACAGAATGATTTATTCCTTGAGCATTAATTCTCCTTTGGCCAGTTGTAACGGATGACCCCTGATTCCCGGCTGCATTGATTGCGGTAGCATTGATTGCGGCAGCATTGATTGCGGCAGTCTCCATGGTAGCTTTTGCCTTCCTTCCCCGTTGACTCCTTTGGACAATCATCCAAGAACCAAAAGCTTCACCTTCTGCCATCTCACGCCTGACACCATTGTTAACAACCTCTGCACGAACATCCTTTTGGTGAGAATGACTATCGGTTGACACCGAAACCGAAGAACAAGTGTCACGCCTATGCCCATACTTACCACATGCAAAGCAGATCATGTGAAGGCCTTCATACCCTACCGTATAAACCTTATTAATGAGATTGAATTTAGACAAGAAGCCTTTACTGAGATCTACTTCTACGCAAATACGCGCAAACTTGGCCCTTTCCGTAACAACCCCATCACCAGCATCACTTTTACGTATAGAGTTCCTATCAATCTTCAGTGTTTTCCCAAATAGATCACCTATGTTCCGCAAATGTTGGGAGGTATAGAACTCCATAGGTAACCCCGGAATACGGATCCAAACAGCTAATTTTTTAAGGTTGTCCTCGTAAGGATCAAATAATAGCCGCCACCGTTGAACATAAACATAATGGTCTGCCACAATCCAAGGCCCTTCCTCCAAAACAAAGTTGTAGTCATTCAAATCCGCAAAACGAAACAAAAAGTAATCGTTCTCCATATCAATGAACTCATGTGTCCCCGACAGATTCCACATCTTCAAGAGTCTGTTCAGCAGAAACTTTACACCAACCTTTTTTCCCAAGAGCTTGATAATCACAGCTTGCTTCCAAGGCCTGCAACTCTCCTTATATAGCTCTTTTGAAAATATGTATGTAGGACAGAAAGGATCATCTTGGTCATTTGATTGAACATCCTCCTCCATACCATGAACATCCAACTCCTCAAACCAATCCCTTTCCTCGACGTCATCCGTAACTTTCAGCCCATTCAACTGTAAGAGTGTATCCTTATAAGATATCGGTTTCTTCCCTAACACTTCTTTAGCTTTGTCAGTACTACGCTTCAAGAGATCAACCTCCTCAGCGGATGGTTCACCAATCGCTGAGATCTCCATTAATTGATTGATAATTTGAATCCTCAATCCTCTCCCAAAATTTTATGTGTTTCAATTGTTCCTTTATTCTTCATTGATGTATCTGGCTCAGATATTGGCTTCATACACTATTTTCTTTTTATTCTTAATTTCTTATGACTCAGAATATAGCTAACTTATTTGCTAACTCAAGGCTGACTCATGATTGACTCATCATATCTAATCAAATTACTAATCAAACATGACCAATCAAACATTAATGCATAAATCATCAATCAATTAATAATTCAATTAATCACAATTTATCATCTAATATATATATATATATATATATATATATATATTATTTTTATTAATAATCTGGAGTATTACAAAATATCAAAATCAATTTTCAATAGCACTCATATTGCATATATATATCGCACAAAATCATTTTATCAAAAGTAAAATTTATATTATAATTTGTTATCTATTACCATAATATATATATATATTATTACTACTAATTTATAGTTTATTATTATTATTAATTTTTTATTATTATAAATTACTATTATTTTCTGGAATATTATATGGCGGCTTCACTCACCTATCAGTATTTAGTACAACCCTCCTTTAGGAGGTATAACACCTTAATCCAGCCTATATATAGTCATTTTCGTGACCTCAACTCTCAATGAAAGCACCAATATTACGAACCTTGAGGTCACAATTTCAAAAACTAGCTCAAAGGGTGAGAGTGCACAAAGCATTATAAAGGTCACATTAGTTGCCTATACAACCAATGAATAAAGAGCGATATATAAAGGTGAAAAATAATCCTAAGTAATAATAGAAAATGTGAGTCATAATCGTTTTGCCTTTTCCCTCACTTCTGTGAGTGAGGTAGTGCCCCACCAATGTATACAATGTTAAGCTGTATCGAGGATGAGAGATCATTTGCCATAAGTCATATGATTCTCACTATAGGAAGATAGGGAACTGATTTCTTAATTGGGCGTCTAAGGGTCAACCCATGGCTTTGGGCTATGAGACTGGTCCATACCAAGTACAAATATCATTATCAAATAGTGTCAATGAGTTGTTTGTGTTAGAGAGCTAGGTCTATATCCCTTTAAGGGTGAAATATATCACTATAAAGATGCTCTTAGGGGACGTTTAGTTGAGAAGAAATTTTTTGAATACTAGGAAAATGTAATTGATAGGGAAATGGTTGGAAAATGAGTTTGGTAGGAAAGTTTAAAAAAAGTTGTTTGGTACGCCAAAATATTACCGGGGAAATTGGGTTAAATTTTCTGAGTGTATGTTTGGTTGAGGGTAAAATATTGATGGGAAAATCGGTTAAAAATACTAAAATAACCCTTTATAATACTTTATGAAAATTGATTAATAATACTAAAAAATTTGTGAGTGTCTTTTTTGTCTTTTCAATAGAATGTGTCTTTCCATTTATCCATCTAAGTATAAAATACCATCTTAGAAATGGTCTTCTAAATAGTGCTCTCTATCTCAATTGTTTCCTATTTTTGAAAAGCTAGGAAAATATATTAGATGGGGAAATTATTCAATATCTTGAACCAAACATGGTGATCCCAAAAGACCAAAGTGAGATGCATAGAAATTTTTTTAAATAACTTGAACCAAACACCCCCTTAGAGGTTGCAGTATGAATCAAAACTTTTAGAGAAGACACTATGTGAGTATCTCAGAGATGGCTAAGAGAGAGGATTATAGAGGGTACAGTGGTCTATATTCTTTGCAGAGTAACAATTCATGAATGCGACAAATATAAGATGCCTCTTGAGTGAATGAAGAGATATATAAATAAAAAATATTCCTTAATAATAAAAGAAAATGTGAGTCATAAATGTTTTTCCTATTCCCCCACTGTTGTAAGTGAGGTAGCTACCAATGGGTATGATAGTGAAATATATTGGGGGTGAGAGATGCTCTATCATGACATCTATAATTCTCCATGTGGAAAAACAATGAAATGACCCCTTAATTAATTGGGTCTTTAATGGCCACCCCATGACTTAAGACTGTGAAGCAGTCCAAAACAAATACAAATACCTTTACTAATTAAGTAGATGCATTGTATTTTGAAAAGCAAGAAACTGACGTTGACATTGAAAGAAAGAGATATCGACGAGAATAAACAATATGGTTTACTTCTCTGAAATTTTCAGGGCGGCTCTCAAGGTTGCAGCCATCTAGAACATGAAATTTTCTAGGGCGGCTCTTTGATAAGTTGATATGGCTGGCCTTATCAATCAACAATATGGTTTACTTCTCTAAAATTTTCAGGGCGGCTCTTTCTTATGAGCCTGGAGGTTGCATCTAGATCATGAATTAACCATATATATACTATCATACTAATATGAAAACCCAATCCAACACTACAACCTATTAACCTAACGGTTTCTCCTTTTTAAAGGGGAACGGCCATTTTTTCATATCATTTATAGGTTTCGGAAATGCCAATTCGAAGATGCTTCAACTGTGTGTGCTCTGAAAGAAATTCTAAAGTTTAACCATAAAATACAACTAAGACAACTTTTTACATTACTATACTGACAAACATAATTACAAGAACCCAACAAGGTACGATCCCTCTTAAAATAAACAATAAAGCAGGATAGGAGGATAAATTATCTCCGAAAAATTAAAACTGCATTTGGCTTCGTAACACCCTGAATAGACATGCTTCATTTGTCTCTAAATCTGAAACCATACATATGTAACTAGGTGTCTTGCTTTGGCTTCCGGCTCAATTCTGAGTAATGACCACCCATTAGCTGCAAAATCTCCTCCCACAAACTTTCTGAAGAATCGGACAAAGCCCCACAAAGCAAACTCGAGCTACATGCAGCCACATACCAATAATCTGACTCAATCTCATCTCTCAACTGATCAAGTTGCCATCCAGCATAACCAACAAAGAATCTGAAATCCTGAGACTTGAGAATCCCCTTCTTCACAAGCCCTGCAGCATCATCCAAACTATTTCGAGCACCAAAACATAGCCCAGGAATTACCTCTTCAAACCCTGGAAGCTTCAACTTCTCCTCTGCTTTTAGCAAGAACATACTTGCCTCAAGAGGTCCACCAAAATGCAGGGAACAATCAGAAAAGGTGGTCAATAGATCATGATTTGTAGGTTTCATGTGTTTAATCTTTTTGTGAAGAGGACGGTTGATGACAATTCCGAAAGGCCCTTCTTGTGGGTGTCTAGTTCCAGATCTGAGGAGGAGGACAACAGTTCTTTCAAAGGTTCGAACACCATCAAGCTTTTCAGTAGCCACAAGTACGCAGCCAGTCTCAGGTACTGGAATAGGATGAGCCCACTTTGTTCCAAGAGGTTTGGAATTGTGCAACGTCCCTCCTTGATTGTGAGTGTCAGTATCTGATATTTCTTTCTGTTAATGAAGTGGAAAAAAAAACTCAGTTAATGAAATATTCAGTAAATTACTATGTTGCTTCTTAGATATGCTCAATCATAAATGATAGCGTCCATATGAATAATTAAAACTATTTCAAGTTTCAACAAGTCACAAAGAATACAGAAAGTGGAAAACTAAAACAAGATATAAATCAACCCAGCAGGACTAAAACCTGATCACCAATATAAATCATTAGACAGGTTAAAAGGACAGGTGTAGTCAAGTTGTCTGCTTCAACAACGGAAGCATCCTAGATTGATGACAAATTTATCAAAAGGAGATGAATCTCCAACTACCAAGCATGCTTCTATGACTGTAACAAAGCACAGGAATGACTATAACGGGTGTTTTGAAACATATTTCAAAATTCATGAGGTTGACTCTATCCACTTAAAATGGCATACAAGAGCTGTAGGATAATAAGAGAAGATTACAGATATAGATCCAATTTAAGAATGAATGCATCACCAGCTCATCTCTATATAGCTTTGCTCTGAATTCACGCCAATCCAAGTTAGTATGATGATATCCCTCGGAGTTGTGATCTGATTTGTCACCATTAGAATTGTTGCCTCTAATACCATCTCCTTCTGGAATAGACTGTTCACCATTACCTGTAATGATCAATATATATCAACCAAAAAACAACTCATGAGAAAGTATATAATTATCAAAGTGAAAAACAATGAAATGAAATGAAGGAATAATATGGTAAAATAAGGAAGTAACGTTATGATCTTCATTATGATGTCAATACTTATATCAAGTGATCAGTCCAAAATCTCATCCTTTTGTCTACTATATATTTCTACCAAGTTGTCTCCAAACTCTAAACCCAAGAAGCAACAAGAACAGTAGAAAGAGCACCTAGCTTGAAAAAAAAATTAATTCCATAAGATACAGTTGATTTTAAATGCAGTTTTTTTTTTATATAATATAAAAAAAAACAATGTGGAAAACATGAGACATAGGGTATTAGAGTAAAGCATAGTGGTATATGTGTAATATCTGTTAAGAGTACATTTGTAATAGTCTAAGTAGAATTAGTTAGAATGTAACTAATTTTGTTCAAACAGAATTAGTGACGTGGCATCTGTACTTGGCTCTATAAAGAGCTCACGTGTAATGGTTTTGGATCATCAAGTGAAAATATCAGATACATTCATCTTCTCTCTCTTCTACTCTCTTTGCACTGTCTCTCTCTCCTTCATCTCTTTCTTGTTTTCTCTGATGGTATCAAAGCTCTCTCTCTCTCTGAGGGCCTGATACAAAATACTCTCATCATGTCTTCCGCATCGCCATCTCCGTCCTCGTCTTCAACCGTAAACGCAGCAATGGAGAATCGTTCTTCGTCTCTGTCACTGTTCAACCACACGATCTCAGTCAAACTAACTGAGAGCAACTTTCTTCTATGGAATCAGGTTGTAGAAACTGTAATCACTTCTCATCAACTCCAAAATTTTCTTGTTAACCCTAAAGTTCCGCTACAGTACGAGTCAGAACAAGATCGTGTTAATGGAGCAACCAATCCTTCATACACTGAATGGCTACGTCAAGATCAAATGCTCCTCTCGTGGCTTTTATCGACGATCTCTGAAGAAATACTGAACGAGATCTTGGGAGTCAGTCATGCATATGAAGCGTGGGACCAGATCCACAAGTTCTTTCAAGGAATGATGAGATCCAAAGCTCATCAGCTCAGATCTGAACTTCGCACCATCAAGAAAGGTGGAAGATCCATTGCTGAGTATCTCAGACGTTTCAAATCGTTGTGTGATGAACTGAAGGCTATCAAGAGTCCTTGTTGAGATATATAAAACCATTAATGTAGCCTCATCCAACAGCTTAAGCTTTTGGGTTGAATTGATTCTTTACATAGTATCAGAGCCTCGTGTTCCGGGTTCGATCCTCGCCGCCCCCCACTTTCTTTCAAGTGGAATTTCTTTGTTCGCACAGGTAGGTGGGCCTGTGTATTGTCCACCCTTCAAGCCCAGTGGGTTCTCATGTGAGGGGGCATGTTGAGATATATAAAACCATTAATGTAGCCTCACCCAACAGCTTAAGCTTTTGGGTTGAATTGGTTCTTTACAGTCCTGTATCTGTTGAAGAACAAACTGAAATAATCCTAGCTGGACTTCCTGCAGAGTTTAACGCATTTGTCACCTCTGTTAGAGCACGTGAGAATCCTTACTCAATAAATGATTTGAGAGTTAAACTAATGTCTTATGAAATGATGCTTGCAAAACAGAATGAGACACTCCTTGCTGAATCAATGTCTGTAAATATTGTGCAAACAACATCTGCTGATTAGAAGAATGAATCAGCACCTAGCAGAGCTCCCTTTGGCGTTGTTCATCAAAATCATGATCAAAATTTGACCAACCAGAGATCATATGGTACTGGTAGAGGAAGAGGAAGATCCTTTATTCGAAGTAAAAGAAGTGGAAGAGGTCGCGCACGCAACAACCTACAATGTCAACTCTGCTATAAGTTTGGACATAGTGTCCAAAGCTGTTGGTACAGGTTTGATGAAAACTTTGTACCTGATCTATCTCCACCTGAAGCTCCTCAGTATTTTCCAGCTGCTCAATCATCTTCTCAAAGGTCACACCAGTATATTCGACCTCCTACAAATCCTCCTCAAGTTCTGCTCATAGCAAATCAACTCCAAAACACTCCTCAACAACAGTGCAATGCTGCTTCGCAGGGGCAAGGAATCTTGCCAACTCCTCAAAACATTCAAGCCATAGAGTGGTATCCAGACTCAGGAGCATCTCATCATGTCACAGTACATCCTCAAAACCTTCTACAGAGCACTCAGTTATCAGGAGCAGATCAAGTATACATAGGGAATGGCTAAGGTCTAAGAGTTAATGCTACTGGTTTATCTTCTTTTCCTTCTCCATTTAAACCACACACTCAACTACACCTTCACAACTTATTACTTGTTCCTTCCATCACTAAAAACCTAATTAGTGTGAGTAAATTTGCTAGAGATAATGGAGTTTATTTTGAATTTCACCCTTTTACTTGCTGCGTAAAATCACAGGAATCTCATGAAGTGCTGCTGGAGGGTGATTTGGGATCAGATGGCTTGTATAGTTTCAATGGAGTCCATTTTACTCAAAACCCAAGACAGACTTGTCATTCCAACTCAATGTCTCTGTGTAATACACCTATAGGTCCTAGTTCTATTTCTTCCAATGTAAACTCACAGTGTACAATAAATGTAGCTTCTGATCATCAGAAAGATGTAGGTTCTTCATACATGTACTCCTTATGGCATTGTCGTTTAGGTCATCTTGATACCGAGGCTCTTAATTCTGTTTTGAAGTCTTGTAATCTCCCTATTCCTAATAAAACTGACATTGAGTTTTGTTCAGCATGCTGTTTGGGTAAAATTCACAGATTGCACTCCCCTCCCTCAACTACAATCTATGAAAAACCTTTTGACTTAGTCTTCAGTGACTTATGGGGTCCTTCCCCAGTAACATCTACCTTGGGCTTTACATATTATATATCCTTTGTAGATGCTCACTCAAGGTATACTTGGATTTATCCTCTAAAATAGAAATCTGAAGCCTTAATAAATTTTTCTCAATTCCAAGCTCTTGTCTCAAATAATTTTCAGTCCTCTATAAAGGCCCTCCAAACTGACTGGGGAGGAGAGTTTCGTTCTTTTCATCAACTCTTAAAACAACAGGGCATTATTCATAGAATTACATGTCCTCATACCCATCATCAAAATGGGGTCGTTGAGAGGAAACATCGTCACATAGTAGAAATTGGTCTTACATTGCTTGCTCATGCATCTTTGCCTAGCAAATTTTGGGATCATGCCTTTATCTCAGCTGTTCATCTCATAAACTACCTTCCCACAGCTGCATTGAATTTTGAAGTACCTTTCACTAAGCTCTTTAAAACTACACCTGACTATAAAAGTCTAAAGGTCTTTGGGTGTGCATGTTTCCCATTCTTGAGACCATATAACAATCATAAGCTGGATTTTAGAAGCAGTGAGTGTATATTCCTTGGTTACTCTCCAAACCACAAAGGTTACAAATGTCTTAACTCTTCTAGTCGATTGTTCATTTCAAAAGATGTGCTCTTTAATGAAACAAAATTTCCATATACTTCTTGGACAAATTTGAGTACCTCCAACACTACCAATTCATTCTCACAGCCAATCTCCAATTTAATTCCATTGGTACCTTCTACATTTCTGCATCCAAACTCAACCACCTCCAGTCAGCAGAGGTCACCACATATTTCCTCTAGTTCAACATCATCATCTTAGCATTCACACTCGGACACTACTGATTCCAGCACTGACTCTCCTCTACAGCAGTGTAACTCTCCTCTCCCAGTCCCTTCTACCTCAGAATCCACCCGTTCAGCTGTATCACCATTATCATCCTCCAAGGCAGCAAGCACTTCACATTCCAACAGTGATCAGACACCTTCAAGTTCAGGTACTCCTTTATCTTCTCCACATTCAACTTCATTTAGTCCTACTTCCTCTTCCAACACCAGTTCAGGTTCTGAGTATGTCCCTTCTGGCCCTCTTTCTTCTTCTCCTACTCACTCTATAATTACACGCTCTAAATCTACTCATATACCTCAGATACTTCTGACTACTCTTGAACCTACCTTAATCAAGCAGGCTATTGCTAATCCTAATTGGTGTACTGCCATGCAATCAGAATTTAATGCTCTTCAAGCAAACTCTACTCGGACCTTGGTTCCTCTTTCCAAAAACAGAAAGGCCATTGGCTGCAAGTGGGTCTTTCGAATTAAAGAGAACCCAGATGGCTCTATTAGCAGGTACAAGGCCAAATTAGTGGCTAAAGGCTTCCATCAACAAGCTGGCTTTGACTACACTGAAGCCTTTTCTCCAGTTGTGAAGCCCATTACTATTATTTTTACTATTGCTATTTCATTCGGTTGGCAACTAAAGCAATTAGATGTGAACAATGCCTTTCTCAATGGCATCTTAGAGGAAGAGGTCTACATGAAACAACCTCCTGGTTTTGAGTCCTCTAACAAATCTCTTGTTTGCAGGTTACACAAAGCTCTCTATGGTTTAAAACAGGCACCAAGGGCCTGGTTTGATAAACTCAAAGAATCTTTGTTTCATCTTGGATTCACAGCAAGCAAATGTGATACATCTCTTTTTATCTACAGAAAGTCCAATCATTGTATGTTCCTTTTAGTCTATATAGATGATATAATCATTATTAGGAATGATGTTGGTTTACTTAGTCTCTAGTTCAAAATCTGAATGCTGGATTTGCTCTAAAAGAGCTTGGAGACCTTGATTTCTTCCTTGGAATTGAAGTCAAGAAGACATCATCTGGTGCTCTTTTTCTATCCCAGTCCAAATACATCAGAGATTTGCTTACCAAAGCAAATATGGCTGAAGCAAAAGGAATCTTTACACCCCTTCCCTCTGGCTGCAAATTGTTTAGATATGGTTCTAATTATTATTCAGATCCCTCATTTTATTGTTCAGTTGTTGGAGCACTACAATATGCAACTCTCACACGGCCAGAAATTAGCTATGTAGTGAACAAAGCTTGTCAGTTTATGGCTCAGCCTCCTGAGGAACACTGGA